TGTACATTGGTGGGGGGTTATGGTAGGATTGGGTGGAATTGTGTAAATTATCAGGGTTGTAGATAGATGTAGTAAAGTCATATGATTTTTAGTTGTATGGGCCATGCTATTGGTTTTGTGTTTGGTTATGTGGTATGTATTGGTTGTGAGGTTGGGTGTATATGGTATGGTGACGTTGTGAGGTTGGTCTTTGGGTTTGGGTAGGTTGACTTTGTTGTTGGGTTTGGTAATGGTGTGGGGTAGGTTGTTGGGTTCGGTAATAGTGAGGGTTGGTTTTCGGGTGGGTGTTTTTTGTTGGGCGTATGATGACGAAGCTCGTTGGCATAGGTCGATCAAAATGGATAGATTGAGTAACATAGCCATATTTATAGCCATATTTATAGATGGGAGATAGCATTCACGTGAAACTTTGTTGCATGTGACCTCCAATATATGCGTCATACGCAATGGCGCATGGGTTGTTTTTTTAAAGCATGCGCCAGTCAAAATGGCGCATCCTAGGCTAATGCATGCAGAGACTCATGGAAGGCTAACCTCTTAGACTCATGCATGCAACATTTGTGGTAGACTGTGTCACTAGGCTCATGCATGCAAACAAAAGGACAAGCCATTGTAAATGGCGCATAGGTGAAGACAAAAGAGCATGCGCCATACCCTATGGCGCATGGGTTGCTTTTTGTCAATTCAATTAGATCCTTATTTAAGTGCATGCTACATCATTTTAGAAACAACTCACACTTTATTATCACAACCAGTACACTAAAATACATTGCATTTCACATAAATGGCTTCATCACCATAATACATGATCAATGAGATATTTGTATGCGACTTATCCGGTTTTAATTTTTGTAATACCGAAGTTACTCGGTTCACAATAAATAGACGATCAAATTTTTCAGATTTTAAAGAGAGAATAGAAAAGAAGTTGTAGTGTAGTTCGTTAGCACAAATCATCTACAAAAAATCCATATTTTTTGCTGACAACCAAGTCAAGTTTTATCAGCTAAAGATTCAAGATGATGAAGATGTTCAAAATATGCTTCTCAGTCATGAACATTCTGGGTTCAATGATATTGAGTTATATATTTTTTAACAAAAAATTTAGCTGTCTCAGATTGTTGATCCATCACAAGTTTTTTTTTTTTATGAAATTGACGATGAAAAATAAGCTGAAGTCAATATTGTTGACGAGGAAGAAGAAGAAGATGAGATATTGGTTGATCAAATGGTGAACGATGACACTGTCGACCACGAGCAAGAGCCATTACCTTCTGATCATGTTTATTGCCAACCTCAACACATGTCAAGCTTAAACTTTGGTGCAGATGAATCATCGTCAGAAATATTTCACAACCCATATATGCAAACAAATGGATCATTAAAAGTGGGAGACAGATTTCGCACAAAAGAAAACTGTGTCAGAGCTATTAAAAAGTATCACATGAAATTTTCAACTAATTATAGGGTCAATCGAACTAATGTGATGAGGTACAAGATCTTGTGTCGTAATGTGCTCTGCAGGTTCTAAATGACAACATTTTATCGCAAAAGGAGTGATTCTTGGGAGATAGGTTCTATGGGTCCAGCTCACACTTGCATAATCATCAATCCGATGCAAACTCATCATAAACTTATCTCTCAGTTAATATGCGATGAAATTTTGTCTGCCATTAGCAACAGTCCGTTGTTGAACGGAGTACTATAATATCGTATATCGTCACACGATACAATTAAACTCCCTTGTACAGGAAGGCATGGATAGCTAGGACTAAGGCGGTTGAAAAAGTATTCAGAAATTGGGAGGATTCGTACAAAGAACTTCCATAATACTTGGTGGCAATTAAGCATTATGCTCTAGGGACTGTTTCCATTTTGGAGACCTTGTCGACATATACCGTAAACAAAACTTGTTTTAGTGGAAATGGCATATTCCACCGACTCTTATGAGCGTATTAACCATGCATCAAAGATTTTTATTTATGTAAATCTATTATACAAATAAATAGAACATGGTTGTTTATGGGAAATATAAAGGAACATTACTCATGGCAGTGGCACAAGTAAGGGTGGACAAATTTGAACCAACTGATTGAAACTGACTGGCCCATTGTCTTTTTTGTGCAAATGGGTTGGGTCGGGCGGGTGTCAGGTTGATTTGTTTGCTTAATTTGGATAGTATAACGTTGCTTTGGTCGGGCTCAGATGCTTATTTTAGACCCGACAAAAACCGAAACCGATCGAACTTAATTAATATATATTTTATTTATTTTTATTACTATATGACTGACTCGCTATAAAAATGAGATTTATAATGCTGCATGATATTATCATTTTTATAATTAATGATGGCAATGTGTACTCCCAAAAATACAAGACATGCAATATAAAATTTTGAGTATTATTTAATTTATAGTTTAAAGTATGATAATGATCAAAATTAATGTCAAATAATATTGAAAATATTATCTCGTAATAATAATTTTTCTTTTAATACCAAATTAGTTTGATAAATTTTTTGAAATGTAAATTATTTTAGTATATTATTTAATATTTAAAATAATCTAGTTTATCCATATTTGAAATTCAGAAAATAATTGCTAAATCCATCACTAAAAATATAAACATGCTTATTTTAAACTATAACTTAATTGTTAAATCTATCATAGAAAATAAAGAGGATGAAAACACATAGCTTAACCTCCAAACATCGGCCGTAATATCAATAACAACCCATTAAATTCAAATTTTCTAAAAACTTATAAATCTAGAAATTTTAACAATCTTTTATCAAAGAAAGCTTAAAAGGAAAATCCAACATAAAAACAAAATACAAATTTACAGTTCAGTATTTTAACAAATACATATCAACCAGCAATAGGATTATTAAGATAGGAAAATATTGAAAAATATATATCTTAGATTAATGATAAAACTATTCAATATAAAATTGCTTAAATTTTTCATGTACAAATTCTATGACTTAAAAATCTAAATTCAGTAAGGGAGTGCCCTTAACAAACTCTGTAAAAGCCACATAAATCAATCTTCACATATTAATTCTTCCATTTCAAAGCTCTCCATACGAGGGAGGGCATGACAAATTTAATAAAGAAGAAAGATGACAATCTAAATCCAAAAAATTCTTTCTAGTCACCAACTTTATTGTGAGTTTTTTACGGCATTGCAACACATGTGAAAATTATATTTCAAAGTGCTCTAGTTTAAAAAAAAATACTAATATATTTTTGTTTAATATGTATTCGGTCATTCAAATGGTAAGTATGTGAAAGGAAAATTTTTCATATTAATACTGTCCAGAGCATCCAATATATATATATATATATATATATATATATATATATATATATATATATATATATATATATATATATATATATATATATATATATATATATATATATATATATATATATATATATATATATATATATATATATATATATATATATATATATATATATATATATATATATATATATATATATATATATATATATATATATATATATATATATATATATATATATATATATATATATATATATATATATATATATATATATATATATATTTCATTTTTCAGTTTATTTAATACTTTAAATATTTTAATAATTATAAATAAATAATTATTATAGTTTAAACTTTATTTAAAAAATGATAGTTTTTGATAAATAAATAAATTTTTTTATATATATTTATTAATAAATTAAATTATAATATTTAATATAAGTTTTTTTAATAAATAAAATATTTTATTTATCATTAAAATTATTTAAAATATTGAATAAATTAAAAAAAATTATTATGGTGCTCTCCACTTTAATAGACGAACACCAATATAAATTTTTCCACGTTGATATTTTTTTAAAAAACTAGAACACTTTAGAGTATAATTTTTACATGTGGAGCAATGCAGTAAAAAAACTCCTAAATCGTTTCTTAAAACGAATGATACGATATCAACAAAAGTTGACATCATTACTAACATTTGGATGGAAAAAATTAAAGATGATTTTGGTTTTAGCAATTTCGTTTCAAATAATTCATAAAATATAAAAAAACTGAAATTTGGGTTTTTTTTTTTAATTTTATTATAAGAAAACAATTGCAAAGGTCTGTTTTTAACAAATTGGGCTATATATGCAGCCCACGTGAGTTTCTGTGGGCTTACAAACTTTATTTAAATATCAAGGTCTAAAATAAATGAGAATTTTTTAATCCAACCCTAAATACTCTTAGATATTTAGTGAATTTTCTTTAATGTCTCCTGTTTTCAGAGATATATATTCGGATGCACTTTTTTTTGTTGCTAAAATATAGTTTTTTTCCAAAATTACATCTACGGAATCATTTTAAACTGCTATACGCTGGAAAAAACTCCAAAATAATGCAGTTCAGGAAAACTTTCGTAGATGCACATTTGGAACATCTAAGCGCCATATTGTTTTGTAGATACAACTCCGGAAGTTTTTGCTATATTTGAAACCTGCATGATCACTCCCCCCATTGTTGTGTTTTCTTCTTCCACACTCACTTTCACCAACCTAAACAACTCTACATTATCAATATCATTTTCACTTCAAAACTCCAATTTTTTCGTGCAACAAATCAAAGAGAACAAGAGAAGATCGAATTCCAGGTAAAGATTTCAATTTGTCCACCTCATTGCTCACATTAATCATCAAACTTTTGGAAAAAGTAATGTTCCTTCCGGAGCTGTACCTCCGGAGCGTGCTGAAGATGAACACTTCCGAATGTACATCTCCGGAACGTGTCTGTTCTGTTTTTTATAGCAGATTCGTAATTTTTGTTTATTTTTTTATTGATTACAAATAGATATGGTGCACCCCGATAATATCTCAGAAGAATTAGTTTCCACAAACGATGTTTCTCTGAATGTTCAAGGGGTTGTCGTAAAGTCCGTAGATGTTGGCGTTGACTTTAATAACAAGCAAGAGTTTGACTATCGTGATAGCATGCTCACATGGATTCATAGGACTGCAACTAGACTTGATTTTGAAGTGGTTATAGGAAGATCAGATAATGATTCGGAAAGAAGAAACGCTTTTGTAACTTTGTTGTGCGAAAGAAGAGGGAAATATCATACTCCTCTACGGAAGTTTAAAAGAGACGACACCGATAGTAGAAAATATGAATGTCCTTTTAAGATTCGTGGTTACATGTTGAGTACCAAAAAGTGGGAATTTAGTGTTATTTTTTGTTTGCATAACCATGAATTGTGCTTAAAGTTACAAGGTCATCCTACTGTATGTCAGCTCAAGCCAGAAGAGAAGACATGTATTAGTGACATGATATTGAATCTTGTCCAATCGAAAAATATACTTGCCACATTGAAACGGAAGGAACCCGACAATATGTCAAATATAAGGCAAGTGTATAACATTCGGTACTGCACCAACAAGGAGATTAGGGGAGATATAAGTGAGATGCAACAACTGTTGAAATTATTGAATGATAACAGTTATGTGTCCCGGTACAGAACTTACGACGATGGAGTTAGGGTCCGAGATGTTTTTTAGACTCATCTAGATTCGATAAAGATGTTCAACACGTTCTCGACAATGCGCATTCTTGATTCTACCTACAAGACCAACAAGTATAGACTTCCTTTATTTGAGATGGTTGGTGTTACGTCTATTGAGAAGACATATGTCGTTGGTTTTGCTTTTTTGGAGTGTGAAAAAGAGGACAATTTTACAGGGGCATTAGAGGTGTGTCGGTGACTTTTGAAGGACTAAGTTAAGGGCCTAAAGCGATTATTACCGACCATGATACCGTGTTGGTTAATGCGGTTGCAAAGGTATTTCCTTCTTCTAATGCATTACTTTGTCGATATCATATAACAAAGAATGTGAGAAGTCGGGTTAAACCTGCGGTAGGGGTGAAACAAGTAGAGTCCGAAGGTGAAAAATTGGTGAAGGCCGATGTGATTTTTGAAAAATAATAAATGGATGGAATCATATACTAAATTCTTCCACAAAATAATTATATGTTGATTCCATCATTCAATTCCAGAAAGTGTGTGAAAAGTATCCTGCTTTATTGAAATACGTTGAAAGCATCATTCTTAATCAGGTGAAGGAGAAAATAGTCTGTGCATGGACTCATAATGTCTGACACCTTGGAAATACAACCACCAATAGAGTTGAGTTGGCTCATGCTAGTTTGAAAAATTGGTTCGGTAATAGCAAATGGGATTTGTGTCGAGATTGGGATTCCGTAAATCTCATGATTAAAAACCAACATAATGAGATACAAACAACACTTGGTAGGAGTATAACAGTATTGGAACATTGATTTAAAGACAACATTCATTGTCAATCTTATTCCTTTATGGACTCCCCGCAGTTTAACAATAAGTGCATTGTAGTTACCAATATACTTGGCAAAACACTTTAACTAGTCACCGTTAACATTCCTAATAAGGCTTCTGCACCCAACTCTAGAATTACTACTAACTATAATACCAATATTAGCAGTCACCCAACATCTTCAGCAAGCGCCCACCTCGTGCGAGTCCTAGGTTTGTCATTGCTCACTACCTTCTTCTGCAACGCCATTGTACTTCTGTAATAGCCACAAGCAAGCTGAATTTCACTAGTTAACATTTTAGGAAACACAAAACCAGAGTTATGAAGTTTCTGATTTCTCGACTGCCATATTTATAACATGAAATGGCCCAAACAGAAGGTCAATCCATGCTAGGAGAGTCTAAATTCTGATAAAGATTAAAAGTTATCCACTCATCAAGATCAAGAGAAAAGAATTTAGTACAATGTCGAGCTTGAACCAAACTCATCCAGATGTCCTTAACCACCAAAAAATCTCGAAACACATGTAAAAGAACTCAACAACACCGACACAATCACCATATAAAAGATCCATATGGTTAAACTTATAAAGTAAAAGGTTAGTTTTTAGCCTTTTATTCTAAACCAGCCACACAAGGTATTTAATTCTTTCAAACAACCTTCCAAATCTTTCTCCACTATTTTTCCTTCACATCCTGATAAAGGGAGTTTCAAACCTTAGAAGAGCTGGAAATAATAAACATACCAGTCATAGTTCCGCTCCAAATGCAACTATCTTGATAAAGACTGTCTCTTTGAGGAGGAGCTATGGCGCGAATTTTCTCCAAGTACTCTGCAGGAATATTAGCATTAATAATGTACCAATTCCAGTTCATTGACAATCAATCAAATTATTGAGCAGATTCACCTTCAAACAAGAGCCAGGATTGATCAACACATTTCTAAGCTTCGCGCCTTTTTGCACCCAATAGTCCTCCAACGCTTGAATCCTAGAACCATCCCCAATTTCCCACATCACATGATTATCAAGAGTAGCCCAATCTTTATCCATATGCTTCCACAAGCTCAAATCATGTGGCTTAACCTCCAAAATATTCCTATTAATCCCTTTCCTTTTATACTTTTTCTTATAAAAAAATTGGCACAGTAAGGCTTTATCGCCACACTTAAGCTTACAACTCGGCTTAGAAGACAAGGTTAGTTCATCATAACAACATGTCTTTAAGCTCAAACCACAAAATTGCATTTGTTTGCAAATATCCAACTAGCGAATGGTGTGCATCTTCTTAGAATCACTACTATGACCCCAAATAAAATATTTTTACAATATTTGAATTTTCTTAAGACTCTCCTTAGGAAATTTATTAGTCATCATAGCATGAGTAGGAAGTGTTTCTATCAGTGATTTTACAAGAGTAACCATCCCTGCAAATGATAGATGGTTACACTTCTAGTGGCTTAACTTGGTTCTAACCTTGTCAACAAGAAACAGATAATGAATTTTCCTAAGACACTTGCTGGACAGAGGCACCCCCAAATACATACCTAAGTCATCTACCTCTCTGAAGCTAGACATTGAAGCTATGTTCTGTCGAAAGCACACAGAAGTATTTTTGGAAAATATAATTCTAGTTTTCTCCTTGCTAATTTGTTGTCATGTGGCTGCACGAAACTCATATAGCACTTCCATCATATTAACAATTTCGCTATCAGTAGCTTGACCAGAAAGTAAGAGATCATCAACAAACATAATATGAGATACCATTGGGCCTTTCCTACCCGCTTTAATACCAACCCAACGCTTATTTTCCACAACATCTAAAATCAGATTAGATAATTTGTCCATACACAAAACAAAGAGATAAGGTGAGATATAGTCACCTTGTTTTAACCCTTTTTCCATACACAATACAATTCATTTATATAGTTATATCATTCCGTAATATATTTTTAAGTTCTATAAATTTTGATAAATTCATCATATATTAACTAAGGGTGTTAAAACGGGCTCGACCCGTTGGGCATGCCTATTTACCCAAACTTTAGTGCGGGACAGGCCAAGGGTTTAAACCCTCACCCTTTAATGTATCCGCCCCGCTCTGTCTTTTTTTCATCACAAATTTTTGTGGACACAAGCATTTACATAAACTTTAGCACTTTTAAGTTTAAAAAGTGTAGTGTATGTGGACTTTCCCTATCCCGCCCTAATTTTTTATGGGTCGGACCTAGATTTTAGACCCGCATCCACAACTATGGTCGTCTCGCCACGTCCCATTTTTTGCAGGCTTTTGCAGGGCAGACCTAAACAGGACGGGCATGCCCGTTTGCCACCCCTAATCTTAACCTCACACAATCTTCTTTAATTGTGTATTAAATTGTTATATTAAAAACAACATCAATCTTTCTAAGATGTAAAATTATGTATTAAATTATTATAGTTGCTTATAACGATAATTCTTTTTATTCTTACATAGATATAATTGATCTTAAATAAGATTTAATTAAGGCTATGTTTGAATATTGTAAAACGAACAGAGCAGAATAGAGTGGAACAGAGCGGAATTGAATAAAGATGTTGTTCCAGTGTTTGGGTATTTCATGACGGAATATAGAGACTTTGTCATTCTACCCAAATCGGAGGGTACAAAAAATGATGAAAAGTGATAGAATGAGATGTAATGCATTCATCTGATTCCGTTTCATTCCATCTTTTTTTAATCAATCCAAACAATGGAACTTAAATTTATGTCATTCCATTCCATCTCATTCCATTTTATTCCATCAATCCAAACACATCTTAAAAGTGTCTTTGGATGAAACATTTTAAAGAGAGAAACTAATTTTTTGAGGCAATTTAAAATGACTTGACCAAAATTTATTGTTTGAATAAAAAAAAAAGAGTTGTTAAAATGATATAACTTTTTGAAATATTTTATTCAAATAAAGTTTAAGGAATTTCAAATGACATCAAAAAGTAAATAATTTGAAATTGCTCCTTCACTCTATGTAACGTAAATATTAAGTTGTTTATTATTAATTTTTTTAATTTTGTAAGATGATCCTCATATTTTATGAAAATCTCAAATTCATCCCTAAAGTTTTCAAAAATTGTAAATAAATCCCTAGTAATTTTCAAATTTTACAAAATAGTCCCTTCAAATTTTCAAAATTTGCAAATTGATTCCTAATTTTCATATTTTAAATTTGACCTAAAAATTTTAAAATTTCTGAAAATGACCCCAAAAATTTAACAATGAATCATTTTAATATTTCATCCAAACAAAAGAATTTAAAAATTAATAGATTTCAATTGAATTATTTAAATTACTTAGAATTTTGAATTCCATAAAAAATTTCAACTACCTCATTCAAATACACTCTAAGTTAAATTTTGATACAATTAATGGAAGGATAATATTATTATATAAGTCATATTTGGAATTTTCTATTATATTATTAGTGTATTTAATTCTATTATATTAGTTTAACAAAATTTCTGATAAATATTAAGTTTTTTTTTTATAAATTAGAAAAAATGTTTATTTTCTTATGTAGATGCTTATTTATAATTTATTTTGTTGACGGATAATATTAAAATAAATATTTGACATATATAATGTATGTCTTTTGCATTATTTAGCTAGACAATTTATAGTTTGACTTATTATAAAAAACATTAAAACTTTAATACCTCACATAGAGTATTCGTTATGAATCTAAAAGTTAATGGGGAGAGCAAAGAGATTAAGTCACATATATGGGAGCGCCACAGATCAACTGGTGAAATTTAAAGGGTGAAAAAAAATTTCAAACACAAGATATTATAGGGAGGGTTTGGACAACCACAAGAAAATGCAAATAATATGTGGTATAAAATGGTCCAAGAGAATAGAAAAGTGGCTAAAGAGGTGTTGGTAGAATCAAGATATTTCAGACCTAGAGGTAAAGAATCGTGGTGGTGGAATAAAAGTTTTCAATGTAAAGTTAGAGTAAAAAAATTGTTGTAAAGAATGGTCTAGATGTAAAAATTTTAAAACTTGAAAAAGTATAAGAAATTTAAAAATGAGACCAGGAAGGAGGTGAGTGAAGCAAGAACCCAAGTTTTTGATAGGTTATACTAATATTTAGGAACTAAGAAGCAATAAAAAAATCTATTTATAGGCTTTCTAAGAGAAGAGAAAGAAAGATAAAAGATTTGGATCAAGTGA